AGATCAGAGCAAATGATCTAATAATCCTTTGCAGCACAAAAATCTGTGCATCTTCAATTTGATCAGAAATGGTTTGTTTTATGTGAAGATGGATCCAGCTAAATAAAAATTATATATGTATAAATATATACCAGAAAAGTTGGGGAATGGAGGAGGAAAAAGTTCCTCTACCAAGAAAGAGATTAATAAATAAAATCTCATCTCAAACTATTTTCCAAATGATAACTCCTCCATCTTTAATGGACCATTTAAACATTTGTTACTTTTCGTTCTTAAAATAATTACAATACTTCGACTAAAATTATATTAGCAGGATACGATATTTACACTGGGCCTTCTTACTACTTCTTGTTGTTCTTCTCCCTCCATTAATTACAACACATTTTGGGTAGGTACCATCCTTCCTTTAAAGTTAAGAGCAAATTTTGCACACTGTGCTTACTACCAGAAATAATAATTTGTGGTGATACTTTATATCCATATCAATTTTGCTTCTATTTTCATGCACATTTAGATTTGCACTGAAATAGGATAAGTTTCTGCCAACAGCATGGGTGGACATCTCCTATGGTTGGTGATGACTGATGAATGACAACTGTAATAGCACATCAGTCATAAAGCTTGTTAGAAAACAAGACTAATAGATGGGAGCCTCTCACTGGCTGACAAGCATAACAACACATTTATTACTAAAAACGATATGAATTTTTTAACCTTGTGATATTACGAAATATGTTGATTAGATCATCCTGTTTTATCATAAGAACAGTCCTTAGACATTTACATATGGAAAAAAAATTGGAAGGTGATTTAGATTTCATTATTAACATGGCAGTCCAATTTTCTAGTTAGTCTCCTAAATATAGCCACCCCTTCTTTAATGATAGCTGCCAATAAACCAAACAGACTACTCTTTCATACAGGTTTCAACATGCAAATTCATTTCAAATAGACATCCAGCTAGGGTAAATCACTTGTTCAATGCAATCACAATTTATCCTTCACCAATCCACATATATTCACACGAAAATGGTAATTTTGGAAAGCTGATTATCTACCTAATATCTTACATAGAAGGTCTTATAATGTGAATGCCTTTCTGCTTTAGTGAAAAAATCCTATTTAGTAGGTAGAGAACTAGTTTTAATAGGCCAGCAAAGGACATAATGGGAAGAAGCAATGAAATCAATGGAAATTAAATGAGTAAAGAAAATGCTAACAAATGTTCTTCATGAATACTAACATAAACCACTACTGTATATATGTTTTAATGGTTTTGATTGTGCACAATTCTTAATATTTTGGCTATAAAAACACTGCTATTACCTGCTATAGCTTAAACAGGACAGCTTTCTTGTATGAACATTTGACATAAATTAAAATGGATGAAATGTTACAAACAAAATATTAGCTCTTTATTAAACCTGAAGCAGAACTCAGAAGTACATTAAACCTTAAAGAAAATAAAGTGAAGATAGACTTAAAGTAAAAAGTCTCTGATTGTCTTTTATTGAATTCTGTATAAACCAAATAGCATAGCTAGTGAAAAGTAAGTTAGATTAAGTTTCATTTCTCTGAGACACAGTTAATAAAATGGACTTGTTTATTACATTTGACTTTTAACCTGAAACTGTTTTGTTTGTTTGCTTCTTTTAACTTAAACTAAATGTATCAGAAATAGATAACATCAACACTACAATTAATTTGCTTGTCACAGAAGGTAAAGATTTGATCAGTGAAGGTGAATAACAACAAAACAAATGAAGTTATCAGTTGAAAAGAGTAAACAGAACTAGTACCTCTATGGCAAAAGTAAAGAGAGCTTGTGATGACCACATGTGTTAGTAAGTAAATTCTTACTCATTTCTATATCCTTTGTCTCCATACGAAAATTCTCCAAACTAATTCAAAATTTGGAAATATTTTCTGAGTATTATTAGCAAACCAGCCTGGATACATGTTATTTTGATGACTCCAATAACTTCTCTATAAAACAATGAAAAAAGTTATGATGGTAAAGATCAAATGAGGATCACAAGTGAAACAAGCTCTACCCATCTAAGGTACAATCCAAATAAAATATTACATTGCTCTATTTTGCATAGTTTAATTATGCCCTCTAGTAAAATTAAAACAGACTTGGTGCTTGTCGTGGTTTAACCTCAGTTGGCAACTGAGCACCACACAGCCACTCGCGCACTCCTTCCCCCCCAAAAATATAATAATAATAATAATAATATACAAAGCAAGTGATGCACAATGCAATTGCTCACCACCCACCAACCGATGCCCAGCCAGTCCCCAAGCAGCAGCCCCCCCAAGCCAGCTTTCCCCAGTTTATGTACTGAGCATGACGTCACATGGTATGGAATGTCCCTTTGGCCAGTTTGGGTCAGCTGTCCTGGCTGTGCCCCCTCCCAGTCTCTTGTGCACCTCCAGCCTTCTCAGTCGGTAGAGCATGGGAAGCTGGAAAGTCCTTGACTAGTGTAAGCACTACTTAGCAAGAACTAACACATCGGTGTGCTACCAACATTGTTCTCATCCTAAATCCAAAACACAGCACTGTACCAGCTACTAGGAAGGAAATTAACTCTATCCCTGCCGAAACCAGGACAGTGCTTTAAAATTACAGTTTAAGCTGAACCTTTTGTGTTTCAATTGACTCTTGAATATTTCAGCTGAACCATACACACCAAAAGCCTAAAATTAGAAAATCTAAAATCATGTTGTGTCCCACTTCCTTAGCAAGAAATGTACTTCTAATATAATCTAATGGCTCATACTTACAGAACTTTGCTATACAAAATAAATAGCATCTTAAAAAACAGAAGAAACTATTTTAGTGTTAAAAATGCAATTCAATAATTGTAATTTAATTAGCAGTATTTCTTTTCTATTCTTAAAGGCAAGTTGATACAGCAGTACAGAAGTTACTTGGAGCAACTAAAACAGGCTGTTTTATTGACACATGAAGCAAGAGAAAGTTGTTGATGAAGGTATGAACCTTGGATTTTGTTACATTTTGGCAAATTTTACTTCTAATTTTAGCAAAAAAATCAAAATAGCTTTTAATTTGCAAAATATAGCATGGACTTTTGATATCATTCAAATAATTTTAGGATATCCAACTTCAAAGTAAGTCTACTACTCTTCATTTGTGTTTACCGGATGCATTTAAGCCTCACTTGATTTCACATTCAGTTAAGCATTTCCACTGACTGAATTCTGTTATTAGTGAATAAAACAGAACTTACAGCATGAATTGCAAAACACAAAAATGCATTTGTTCTTATTTGATTAAGGAGAAAACTAGCATGATCTCTAAAGGAGGCAATATTTGTATTCAACTGTAGAACAATTTAAAACAACTAAGAAAATGTAGGAATATCATTGCCATTGAAGTACTTAAAGAAACATCACTTCTCAAATTTCATTCCACCTAGAAGACCTATGCCTTACTTATGCCTATAGAAAACTATTTGTTTTGCCTGTGCTTGGCAATCACAGTCAGGTGAAAAATTCCCATTAAATATCCTTCAAATAAGTAAAATGAGAGAGGACTTTAAAGGAAAAAAAGAAAACAGCCAAGTTAAAGTCTTGATTTTAATTAAAGCAATCTGAAAGAGGAATGCTGCTTTTTTTTAATAGAAAAACTCTGTTTTTCTATTAAAGTCATGTAAAATATAGGCAAATGTTAATACACACTCCTTTTTATTTTGTAACTCAAATATAAAATTCTCTGTTGCTAGCTGAAAGCTCCCACTATGTTACTGATATTTATACTATCAAAGAATTATGACTCTTCACAATTTTTATTCTCCGAAAATAATACTACACAGGTTTTGGATTAAATAATAATTTTTTACATTGTACAACAATTTTGAATTTATCCATACCAACCACCTTAAGAATCAAAATACTGAGATTTTATCAGATCTAAGTTATCCAATGCTATCGTAAACATTCATCGTAATTCCAAGTAGAAAAGTATTAGATTTTTACTCATTACATTGGTTCCTAAAAATAAATTCCCTAATTTTGTTGCCCCTTTGAGTACTGATGAATCTGTATTATTAATGATGCTTTACTATATTTTTCAACTCCTCCTACTCTGTGCTTCACAATTCTCTTCCCCATTACTTCCAAATCTCTACATCCAGACCAGAATACCCAGAACAATTAGGTAGAAGTATTCATTAGGGCTATGCAGCAAAGCTAGACTAGCTATAAACCCATTTTCCTGATTGAAATAGGGCTGAGTAAGCTCTTACGGGAAAGTTCTGTGTTTATGTTTAAGTGTCCACAATATTATAGATCACAGTTGTAACAGAATACATCTTCCTATAGCATTGTAAGACACTTCCACAATGAGTTTTTAATCTGGAACAGACTTTGGAGACATATCATAGATAAGTAGGAACAAAGTGTTAAAAGGTAGTATCTCACTATTCTGAACAATTGGAAATATTTTGAAATAAGCTACCAAACCTACACTAATACCGAGCAAACAAACTGAACAAATGCAGGGAAGTTACAGATACCTATCTGTAACTTACATGAGTATAACTATGTTAGATGTAAATGTTAAATAAACAACACTGTGTTTTTCTTATGTTTTCAGAAAAAATACAAAATGTTAAAGGAGGCTGTTTTAGTTCCCAACCTGACAAATATTCAGCTCAGACAAACTGTTACATGAGCATTCCCAAAGCATTCAATGATATTACTTGAATGCAGAAATTTAACCTATGAAATGTAAATATTCGCAAGCAGTCAAGGGAAAGGTCTGCCTTCATGTTTAAGTTTTCACAGTATTCTTGCTCCTGTGTCTTTCTTATATATATATTTATTACTTATTTTACAGATAGTACTATGTAGTACTTATTCTGACAACATAATATTGTTATACATTCTGTCACAAAAACCATGTTAGTCTGCAAGAATATCTGAGTGATTAAGAAACTAGTCTCAAAGATTTTGCATCAGTCTGAAATACTTACTGTCGCTGGGGAGGCCCGCGTTGTATGAGTCACTGAATGACCAGAATTTTCCATTGAATTGCCAATCAGATAGGTTCCTCCTGAGCTGCTAATGAGTTGTCCTCCTGTGACACCCATCTGAATCCCTCCGGTGCCCACCATGCTATGAGACGAGACCACTGTTGTCACCTGTGCAGAACTTCCTTGAGTATCAAAATAATTTCCCCCAGTGTTTTGGCTGTACATCTGGGTTTCTGTGTAAGGGTAAGTTGTTGATCGGCTTCAAGAAAAGAAAACAAAAGGAAAAGAAGTTATTTGTATTGTTCATTTAGCTAAGGGAAATGTTGTAATTCTAGAAATGTATGTACAATAGCTATAACCAAATTAAATAAGACTGGCAAACAATCCCTGCCTCCTCAGAGAATAACATTTAATCAAGTCAAAGCACTAAATAACTAATTCAGTGACAATGTTAAACCAAGTACTCACCAAACCTTACAGAAAAATTTGTCAGTCTTACCTGAAGAGGAGGGGAGCTGGGAAGTATGACAAAAATTGAGGAAACGGGCAGAAAGAGCTCATCCAATTTTTAATATATTGCAAAGCAATTTATAAAGCTCCATCTGTTTTAACGTTTTTTAATCCGACAATAAAATTTTGAATTTTAGTCAGATGTTCTATATTTTGCATACTGTGCATGTTGCAAAATTGCAAACAATTCATACAAATGTCAGCCAAGAGAGTCCAGCGTTCAAGAATCCTATGTCATCTATTGTTTTTAAATTCATTGAAGCTCTTGGCTGAAGCTTGAAATTCTGTGTTCACTGGTATTTTCAGAAATGCAGTTATTTTTACAGGGTGAATTCAAAACTGGACATGACTTCCTCTTATGATAAAAAACTGCATTTAAGAAGTAAAACCAAAACAGAACTATGACTTGTAAAAAGGTCAAGAAGTTAAAAGTATGCAACAGTAACATTTTTAAAATCACTTTCAACTATGAAACATTCATGTCTCATTAACGAGTTTACCCTAACAAACTATTCAGCTACTGAAACTTTCTATCATATGTTTCACGTTCTTAATCACTTATCTTGAATCATTACTCTTCATAGGTTATAATCTATTTATAGTTTTTGACTGTATATTTGTTCCTATGTACTAAATTTGATCTTCAAATCAATGTATTTCAAAATTGTTAAGTAAATAGCATTCATTATTTCAAAGGCCAGATTCCTCATTTGGAAAAGTCTATTTGGAAATTTTATCCTGTTTTGTGACTACTAAGCTTTGTATCTTGGCAAGATGATAATAGAAAAGTCAAAAGGTAAAAACCAGTCAGTTTACCCAACCATTAATTTTCTTATTTAAGCATAAAAAAAGCTGTAATATTGCTTGTAATCAACAGGCAACACCATTTTAAAATTCAAAGTTCTCCATTAACGTAGAGTTGCATACGCTGAGATGCACTTAGTCCAAGTAAATAAATTTTAAAAGTATTATGATTCAGAGAAAAGAGAGAGGTGCTCAATCTTGCGTAAGTCTCCAATTCATTTAGTATAATCAAACAAAACACAAAATCATGCAACACCATGCAACTAAACCAGTTCAACAAAAAAACTCAGATACTTCTGTCCAAAAACACACAAGAGGAAGAAGCAGCATCCACGTTTTATGCAGTAAGCTTGTGGTTAATACACCTACCCAGGAACTTGAAGTCAGGCTTTTTTTCCCCTTTATCTAGACAGGGATTAGTTTCTTATCAATATATAGAAAAGGTCATGGCAATTTACTGTTTGTTGTTATGGTTTTTTAATTATGAAAACTTACACAAAATTAATTAATTAGTAAACAATGGACTCAGAGATAATGATTCCTTCTTCAGCTTCAGAAAATCATTACTCTTAAATAACTGAAGAACAAATGGCACCTTATCAACAACCAAAGTCAGAATTTTTGTTGTATTAACTATGGCCACAACAGTTTCTCCCTTCTTCTTCAGAGACTTTCAGAAACTCCAAAACTTCAGTTTTAAAATCCTCAATGTTTCATAAGCCTCATACTACATTATTTGCTCTCAACCCTCCTTAAGCTACTAAACATTTTCCTTTTTATTTTGAGTATTTCAAAAGCCTTAAGATCAGCTGCAAGAAACTTGAAGTTAATCTAAAAGAAATGCCTTGCAGTCTACTGAAAACAAAGTAAAATAGTTCTTTTAGGGACTAATGTTCAAGCAGACAGTTAATCTATTAACATTTCTTTTGGGGAGTTAAAATCAGTTGCTCTTTGCATTGTAATAACCTATGTATGTGTTTAGGTACTGTGCAGGTCCCAATTAATCTGTTTTCTCAAGCCTAAGTTACCATTGTGATAGTTTATCTTGTAATAAGCAAGATAACTGCTAGCAGAGCTGGTGTTGCATCTGTCGCAGAATCACATAGATCGTGATTACAGAATGTGAACAGTGCTATGCAGCAGAGGACAATTCAGGAAAATGTAGCGATGGAAGCTCAGGGGAAACAGTTCATGCAAATGATCGTCAAGGGACTGAACACACTAATTTCTCCCAAAAGAGAAAAGAAGAACTTGGTATCAGTGTCAGGTATCAGTAAGGAAAGGAATGAAAGGACAAGGCCATTGACAGTAAAAATAGACATGTCTAGAGGAAAAAGACTGTCCAAAAGATGCAAGGAGAACAAATCTCACTTGCAGAAGTGGAATTGAAGAGGCAGTTCTTTGAAGCAATGCAAACCCTAGAGAATGCTCAAAATTTCACAAGAAAATTAAGTCACAGGCTCGGTGTGGAATAGGGAGAGAAAAGGAAATGCTTGTTTGCTTTTACCTTGTTTAGATCTGCATATCATGTATAGTCTCTAAAGAAGGACTGATTGTACCAGAACACCTACATCTGCTTGTAAGAGTACTCCGTATCAATGGATCAAGAGGAATCATTGAGGTACACCAATGGGTCACACTCCAAGATAAACACACTCTTCCCTTTGTTCCAACAACTAGCAGGTTCTTCTAGAACACCTGATTATTGGAGATGATTAAGCAAACCTTTAGCAATAGAGATCAACGGGGTAATTAAAAGTGAGATAAAACCGTTATTATTACATGCAATAATAATTGCAACTTAGCAAAGAGCCTTTTAACTTAACCAAAATACAGACTAATTTATCTCAAAATCAAAAATGCAGCTGGATGAGATGATGTTTTGGAAAGCAGTGACTCAAAGGTTTTAAGGTCATTGCATACGATAACATGATCGCTCAACATAAAACTGTAGGCAAAGAGGAAAATACAATGTTATAACCTTATGACACACACAAGGGATAACCTGAAATAAGGAAGTGATCTTCTACTTCTCCATAGCACTTGTAGCACAAACAAGCAATATTTTCTCAAATAATCTGACATATATAATATAGTCAGTTCTTTCCCATTGCAAAGGTTGTAAAAGCACTCCTAGCTCTTCTTTTCTTCAACAGTTGCATATAAACATCATCCAGGGACTAACCTCAGTGTAACTGCAGTCTTTTGGCTCTTTATGACAACACCTTGGTGATATACTGTGGCTTGAAATACAAGGTAGGCAACAGAATCTAATAGTTCCTCCTATCGAAACACTGTGAAGTTCAGTGTTTACTAGAACGTGGCATTAGAAAGTTCATCAGAGATACTAATAAGTTTGAAGTCTAAGTAGCTAGGCTGCAGAATCGTAGTTTCCAGAAAGCTGTGCAAACTAGATGATGTTTACCCTGAGAGCAAGTCACACAAAGTCAGACACTGCGTGAATTCAATTTAGATTAAGCAAGCCCAGAACATGTGTCCAATGCTGAGATCCCACACTGGAAATTAATGAGACCAGCATGAGTTGCACTAACAATGCAAGGTACAATAGTTCAAGGCATCACCTGTTATGCCTTATTGCGTACATACATTTTATAATGATTTGCAAAATATAATGCTAGAAATAAAATACATGGAGTTGTGGTAGAAAGTTGTTAATAAAATTATATTTTTTGGCACATGAAAACAGAAAATAACTAATTTCTAAGTTCAGTAAGACCCAGCATTACCACACAAATTAAGTGCAATGTCTTGCATTATATTACTGACACTAACATAATGTTACTGAGCTTAACTTTTAGAGACACTTCCGTCTCTTCAAAGACACTGACACTTTGAAGAAAGGAGACAAATAAAAACAATGGTACAGAAAGAGTAAACCTTGTTGTTGTTGTCCTCCCTTAGTTTTCTGTGTGCACATGGACACATGAGAAATCATTTATTCCCAGCTGCACCTATGATGTGGTTCTATGTAAATGTCAAGAATCTCATCTATTGACTACTATAAATCAGTGTTCCTGCCATCCCATCATAGAATCATAGAATAGAATCATAGAATCATTAAGGTTGGAAAAGACCTCTAAGATCATCGAGTCCAACCGTCAACCCAACACCACCATGCCCACTAAACCATGTCCCTAAGCACCTCATCTACCCGTCTTTTAAATACTTCCAGGGATGATGACTCAACCACTTCCCCGGGCAGCCCGTTCCAATGTTTAACTACTCTTTAAATAATTTTTCCTCACATCCAATCTAAACCTCCCCTGGCGCAACTTGAGGCCATTTCCTCTCGTCCTATCGCCAGTTACTTGGGAGAAGAGACCGACACCCACCTCGATACAGCCTCCTTTCAGGTAGCTGTAGAGAGCGATGAGGTCTCCCCTCAGCCTCCTTTTCTCCAGGCTAAACAACCCCAGCTCCCTCAGACGCTCCTCATAAGACTTGTTCTCCAGACCC